TCCTAATGGAAGGATGGAATAGGATATGCAAAATTAAGATATTTGATCATTTATTTTCCAGACAAAGCATAATATAGTATTAAGATTAAGACATAACAAATATTATAAGAAAGATCTTAATATAAATCACAAACTAACTAAGTCTTAATTTGGTCTTGTATAAACACAGGCAAAACACAGGTATTAAACTAATAAGATCAAAACTCAACCTTCACCATATTGTCAAGATTTGGCATTATAGGAAATAAGAAATTACAGTAGATTAAGAAAAGGATATCAAAGTACACGATATTAAATACTGTAATGTATTCTACGACACAAACCATCTCCCTTCTAAAGAGAAAAAGATAAAACATAAAGCTTTTTTTAGTCTTATCACCACATTCTTCGATAAAATATATGTCTAAAATTGCTATTGATCCACTAAATTGATATTTTTAAGAAATTTTGATACAAACATTATAATCAAAGTATATTATTTTAGTAAAATTATAGGTAAAATCACAGTAAAATGTTACCTCTATCTCCCATCGACGTGTATTGTTCTATAAGACTCGTCATGGTAGTACTTCAATACATCAGTACATATAATCAAAACTATTGTTGCCTGTAAATAACTAGAAATTAAATAACTTGAAAGAAATAAAATAATTCTAATAAGTTTAAAACCATTAAGAAAATATCCGTAAATGATAATTTTTAATTCTAATGTAAATATATAAATAAATGTTATTATTATTACAATTTTATATATCATCCCTTAATTTTGGATATCGAGATAAATCTGAAATTATAAAATTAATTATAGAATTTGTATTATTATTGATTAACACTCAAAAAACATTTTCAACTGCAAATAATTCGAAAATAAACTGCAATTTGGCAACATCGACGATGTGCGCTTGCGTAGTATCGATGATCAAATGCAACAAATATGGGCTTCAAGGTCAGCCACCGGATCCACACCTTTACCAATTATAGAATTTGTATTATTATTGATTGACACCGAAAAAACAAATTTCAACTGCAAATAATTCGAAAATAAACTGAAATTTGGCAACATCGACGATGTGCGCTTGCGTAGTATTGATGATCAAATGCAGCAAATATGGGCCTCAAGGTCAGCCTCCGGATCCACACCTTTACCATTTTTTTGGTAATGGTGTGGATCCGGTGGCTGACCTTGAAACGAATTTTTGCTGCATATAGTCACAGACACTACGCATGCGCACATCTTCGATGTTGCCAGATTGCGAGTTATTTTGGAATTATTTTCAGTAGAAAACAAATATGTGCTTTTCAGTGATTTTTTGTCAATATATACCGTATGATCGAAAAAACGGCATCCAGTTGGCTGGGAAATGACGATTGAGTACATTTCCCATATAAAATGACAGCGATCTTCATTTCATAGTCATCGGTGACGCTATTTTTTTTTCATAGTATGCCCGGTATATTATTTATATTATTATTTTAATATTTCGCACAACACGTGAACGCTTATTACAGTTGAGGGTTGGAACCTTTGGTGTTACACAGCAAAATAAAAACACTAAATCACCACAATACACCAAAACACTTTTACTTTTACACTAGACGGCCGTTTCGCTAACCATGTTAGCATCATCAGCAGATGATTATAAACTGATTTAGTGTTTTTATTTTGACGTGAACGCTTATTATGTATTTTCATAGTCAATAAAATTAAATAGAAATAAAACACTAGATTCTTGTAATTAATCTAATTGCTCTAGATTATTATGCTACGTTTAAAAATGGCTTTATTAAAAATTCGGGAAATTAAAAGGGATGTGTCCAAGTTTTTTCTTTTTTTTTTAAATTTTTAAATGCTGTAGCTCCATGTCATGTTAGTTTTTTTAACATTCCATCAAAACTACGGACGCCTTAAAAGGCCTTTTAACCTCCATAATTAAAATTGTAGAATCAGCTTCAGCAACATTAACAGTTACCTTGTTTAATTCTGCTTATACATATATTGCATTTTTCTGCTACCTTAAGATTTCTCTATTCTTACACCTAATTTATGTGATTTTCTTAGCATATATGATTTATAAACCATATTTTTCCTAATGGAAGGATGGAATAGGATATGCAAAATTAAGATATTTGAACATTTATTTTCCAGACAAAGCATAATATAGTATTAAGATTAAGACATAACAAATATTATAAGAAAGATCTTAATATAAATCACAAACTAACTAAGTCTTAATTTGGTCTTGTATAAACACAGGTATTAAACTAATAAGATCAAAACTCAACCTTCACCATATTGTCAAGATTTGGCATTATAGGAAACAAGAAATTACAGTAGATTAAGAAAAGAATATCAAAGTACACGATATTAAATACTGTAATGTATTCTACGACACAAACCATCTCCTTCTAAAGAGAAAAGATAAAACATAAAGCTTATTTTAGTCTTATCACCACACTCTTCGATAAAATATATGTTTAAAATTGCTATTAATCCACTAACTTGATATTTTTAAGAAATTTTGATACAACCATTATAATCAAAGTGTATTATATTAGTAAAATTATAGGTAAAATCACAGTAAAATGTCACCTCTATCTCCCATTGACATGTATTGTTCTATAAGACTCATCATGGTAGTACTTCAATACATCAATACATCTATTCAAAACTATTGTTGCCTGTAAATAACTAAAAATTAAATAACTTGAAAGAAATAAAATAATTCTAATAAGTTTAAAACCATTAAGAAAATATCGGTAAATGATAATTTTTAATTCTAATGTAAATATATAAATAAATGTTATTATTATTACAATTTTATATATTTAATTTTATATATCATTCCTTAATTTTGGATATCAAGATAAATCTGAAACTATAAAATTAATTATAGAATTTGGATTATTATTGATTAACACTCAAAAAAAATTTTCAGCTGCAAATAATTCGAAAATAAACTGCAATTTGGCAACATCGACGATGTGCGCTTGCGTAGTATCGATGATCAAATGCAGCAAATATGGGCTTCAAGGTCAGCCACCGGATCCACACCTTTACCATTTTTTTTGGTAATGGTGTGGATCCGGTGGCTGACCTTGAAACGAGTTTTTGCTGCATATAGTCACAGACACTACGCATGCGCACATCTTCGATGTTGCCAGATTGTGAATTATTTTGGAATTATTTTCAGTAGAAAACAAATATGTGCTTTTCAGTGTTTTTTTGTCAATATATACCGTATGGTCGGAAAAACGGCGTCCAGTTGTCTGGGAAATGACGATTGAGGGCATTTCCATAAAATGACAGTGATCTTCATTTCATAGTCATTGCTGACGCTATTTTTTTTTTCAATCATAGTACGCGGTATATTATTTTAATATTTCGCACAACACGTGAACGCTTATTATGTATTTTCAGTCAATAAAATTATATAGAAATAAAACTCTAGATTCCTATCTAGATTATTATGCTACGTTTAAAAGTGCTTTATTAAAAAAATTCGGGAAATTAAAAGGGATGTGTCCAAATTTTTTCTTTTTTTTTTAATTTTTAAATGCTGTAGCTCCATGTTATGTTCATAATAGATTTTTTTTAACATTCCATCAAAACTACGGAGGCCTTAAAAGGCCTTTTAGCCTCCGTAATTAAAATTGTAGAATCAGCTTCAGCAACATTAACAGTTACCTTGTTTAATTCTGCCTATACATATATTGCATTAATTTTTCTGCTACATTAAGATTGCTCTATTCTTACACCTAATTTATGTGATTTTCTTAGCATATATGATTTATAAACCATATTTTTCCTAATGGAAGGATGAATAGGATATGCAAAATTAAGATATTTTAACATTTATTTTCCAGACCAAGCATAATATAGTATTAAGATGAAGACATAACAAATATTATAAGAAAGATCTTAATATAAATCACAAACTAAGTCTTAATTTAGTCTTGTATTTCTATTATTATTATTATTCTTATTAAACTAATAAGATCAAAACTCAACCTTCACCATATTGTCAAGATTTGGCATTATAGGAAACAAGAAATTACAGTAAATTAAGAAAATAACAAAGTACACGATATTAAATACTGTAATGTATTTTACGATACAAACCATCTCCCTTCTAAAGAGAAAAAGATAAAACATAAAGCTTATTTTAGTCTTATCAACACACTCTTCGATAAAATCCACTAACTTGATATCTATGCTTGATATTTTTAAGAAATTATGATACAAACCAGGGGGATGACAGTAATCCGGAAAATTGGAAACAGTTGTGGCGCGGTTCTACCGATACAAACATTAATTATAATCAATGTATATTATATTAGTAACATTATATAATAGGTAAAATGTTACCTCTATCTCCGATTGACGTTTATTGTTCTATAATAAGACCCGTCATGGTAGTACTTCAAAACATCAATACATGCATATAATCAAAAATATTGTTGCCTGTAAATAACTAGAAATTAAATAACTTGAAAGAAATAAAATAATTCTAATAAGTTTAAAACCATTAAGAAAAAATCCGTAAATGATAAATTTTATTCTAATGTAAACATATAAATAAATGTTATTATTATTATAATTTTATATATTATAATACTTTCATTTTTCACAATCTTCATTATCCTTCTTACCTTAATTTTGGATATCAAGATAAATCTGAAATTATAGAATTTGTATTATTATTGATTAACACGCAAAAAAAAAATTTCAACTGCAAATAATTCGAAAATAAACTGCAATTTGGCAACATCGACGATGTGCGCTTGCGTAGTATCGATGATCAAAAGCAGCAAATATGGGCTTCAAGGTCAGCCACCGGATCCACACCTTTACCTTTTTTTTATTATTGTGTATTGTAACTTTTGGTGGTAATTTGTTTAAATAAAGTTGGGTATATGAATGGTGAATTAAAATCTATATATGTTTTTAAAACCTTTTTTGAAGTTTATATTGTCAAATATGATGTTTATCAGCTGAGTGTCAATTTTGTCCCGTCACATTTCACATATTAAAAATATAAATGTTTTTCATATTATGTTATTTAAATGAAAATATTTAATACATGTTTACCATATTGGAATAGAAGGAATATCTATCACTAAAAATTGATAAGTCGTAACAATGGTATTTTCTATGTCTCCTGGTTAATAACAATAATGTATAAAATGAATGGTAAATTGGCAGATGATCAAAGTGAACCTAAGGGGCCAGTAACTGATAGGAGGCCCATCGTAACATGTAGGTAAAAGGGAGTATTTTATTTTACTAGTGTATAATAACGCTGGTTTAAAGGTTGTGGGGAATTGGAGGTATTTTCAGCAATAGAGGATAATCTGACACAGGCCTTACCAAAAGATGCCTGCGAATGGAAAAGATCTTTGGGGCGCCCAATTCGAAACGTGCATATTGGAGCAACTTTTGTCCCATTTAGTAGTCTTGCTCTGCCAAAACCTGGCCAGTGGGATTTAATAAGAAAGCCAGTGTTTCATATTTACTGGACTGATTGCACAGTATGTAAATTAATATTGATATGTAAGAATAAGATAAATTAAAGATAATATTGTTAGGATGTAGATCTTTACAAAAACAATGTCAGGGAGGACATTGAAACATGGATTAAGGAATTAAATTCTAGAGATATATCTGATTGGCTGATAGTAGTAGTTGAAAATTATGATGGAAAAAGAACAAAGCAGTTAATACCACGGACAACAGTTCTTGATAAAATTAGAGTAGATTTTGCTTTAAAACAAGGTACCTTTACTTTAAAATTACATTGTTTCTATTCACTATCCGTTATTTTTATTATTAGGTGATAGATGTATCTCAGTAATAAATCCAGGAAAATCTGAAAATAAAACTGCAGATTCTTGGAGAGGTCTCGTGTCAAGAATTAGGCATTTATTGTTAGTTGCTTATGCTAGAGCTTTATCAAGGTTAGAGGATCATGTCAGACAGCAAAGGGAGAAAAGGAATGAACTTGGTTGGGATTTTATGAAATATTTTGTTTTGCAGGTAATTAGGTACTTCTTTAATATTTTTATTCTTTAATATTAATTACTTGTCAACTCTTCAGGAAGAATTAGCTCAAGTTTTAGAGATGTTAGGTTTAAATGATGAGGCTTTAGTACAATATGATGAACTGGATGCACTGTTTTCCCAGTTTGTAGTAAATTTTACAAGCTGTGACAATTTGAAATGGTTGTACCAGTTTCAAAAACCTCTTGAAAGGTGGCATGGCTTGAAATTGGCACCCACTCTCTTACCATCAAATCCATCTATACTTGAATTGCGAGCATATTTATTTTCAAAACAAGCACAAATGCTGTTGCTCACCAATAGAATTTGGGAGGTAGAATAATACAAGATTTGAAAAGAATGTATATAATGATATTATATCTTGGTTTATATAGATGGCTTCAAGATGTCTGCCTTTTTTGCATACATGTGTCAAGGAATTGAATATTTTAGAGATTACTGCTCCACCAGGTGCTGTTTGGTGTTGGTTGTTTTTAGGCAGTATGGAAGTGCTTCAGATTTGTGATAAATTCAATCAGGCAGATCAAGTTGAGGAGTATTCAAAACATACAGCTTCTCTATGGGAATATGCTAGCCAGAAGGTATCAAATTTCAAATTTTACATTTATTTAATTGATATTATTAATCTCTCCAATATAATCATATATGGGTATTTCGCCACTGCAAGAAAATCTACAAAATAAAATAGTTATATTTTGTACTTCTGTACATTTTAGGTTTACTGATAAACAAATTTGCCTAATGAACAAAAAAATGCTTAACGTTTCGGAAAGTTTATCTATTTCGGTCGTTGAAGCAAAAAATACAAAGAATAAACAAAAAAAAACATTTAAAATATTTAAATGCAACTATTCGAGAGCACGTTAGTTTTTTTTAAAACAGATACGTCCACAAAAACCGTTGAGGTCCTGTTAAAATGACATTATATCAAAAAATTAATATAGTAATTATATAAGAATTCTTGCCATCTAACTGCTGCTTGCCATTTAAGGCGCAACTATCGAGAGTAAAAAGGCTTTTTTTCAGGCAAGCCATATTATAAAATGGAAAACAAATTTCTAGCAGTATAGGTATATAATAAAATTATATAAGAATTCTTGCCATTGAACTGCTGATATAGAAATTTAATTCCACACAAGTCGGAATTAGGTACTCTGCGCTGTATTTGTCATTTTGTGGAATCGACCCAAGCTCACCTGATGATGGAGTAAGGCTCCGAAACCGGTAGTGAGAGCAGGTTGATCCACATTATGACAAACACAGTGTGGAAGGTTTAAAATTATTGTATATATATATATTTTTTTGCTTTCGACGACGGAAAGAGTGAAGCATTTTTTTGTTTGTTAGGCATATTTGTTTATCAGTAAACCTAACTGCTGACAATTAGTCTTCGTTGGATTAACGCAGCAGTGTTTACACAAAATAAGTATTTTATTTTGTAGATTTCCTTGCAGTGGCGAAATACCCATATCGGATTTTTTTTTGGAGAGATGAATCCGCCACATATGTATAGACATTTTTTGATATTATTAATGTATTTCATTAGATAAGAAGTTTAGGTGAATTATGTGCTTTGATGCCCAATGCAATCCCTTCATCAGAACAATTGCACATAGTTGTTGGGCTATCAGCAGGGATGGGTGACAGCCCTGGCCCTTTAAACCACCCATCACCAACTGACAAGCTAAAAGAGGCTTTATGTTCTCAAGATGCATTTACCAAGACTTATTTAGTATGTTTAGTTTATTGTTACTTTTAATATTTTTCTATATTCATATTTTCATTAGGAATTAGCTGAACTAGCCATGGGAACATATAAACATGTTGGCCGTCTAAGAATGGCTCGTTTAGTAGGCCAGGAATTGGCCAGTTTCTATCTTTTGCTAAGCGAAACTCAAAAAGCTGCAGCTTTTCTTGGTGACGCCCTTAGAACTTTTGAAAATGATGGTTGGCAAGATTTGGCTGCGCAGATACAAATTAGTTTAGCCGAATGTCACAAGAAAGCTAAAGATACTGTCAAATATGTCAAAGCTTGCGCGTATGTATGTGCTGCTGCAGAGGTGGATACCCTTATAAGGTAAAAAGAATAGATTTATTTTACATTATCTCACTAATTGGTTTTTAGATGGGGATATTTTGACGAGATGAACAAATTCTTATTAAAGTTAGAGAAGCCATTGGATGTGCCTTTTAATGACATTATTAAGATAAACAGCGTTCATATCACAAGCGATTTAGTTGTAATGCAAGGAGCCAAAATAGAAGTTGAATTTATTATAGAGTCAAATTTTCCTAAAGAAGTGGTCTGTACTTTTGTGGGTGTTTCTTTAGAAAATGAAGATGATAAAAAAAACAATGAGAAACATCAAACTGGAAAGATGCTAACAAAAAAGGTAGGTAATTTTAAATAGATTTCGGCGTCGGGCATAGCGATTTCGCGTGTAAAGGTGAATGCGCACTGAATCGGCACAGACCGGCCAGAAATGGCGACGGCGCGATGGTTACTCAACTATAGAGCTGGGAATTCTAGTTCCTTAGTTCTAGTTCCTCCAGAGGAATAGTTCCTTGAACTAAGTCCTTAGTTCACAATAGTTCCCGACTAACATTGACATCCCCTTTGCTTGCTAATGGATTTCGTTTTCAGTCAGAACTATTCACCCCCAGTTTACTATTCAAAATTATACAGATCATTATAATTTTTATAATGTACGAAATATAAGAAGACGTGTAATTGCATATGTTAAGAACATATAGGTAAGTTTTATAGCAGATAAAAAAATTAAAGAAACTCAAATCAGAGTTTAAAACTGTATCACAAATCAATTGGAGGAAATAGTACGAAAAATTTACGAAAAAATTTATTTTTCCTCACTTCAAGCTTTTTGTTTTTGTCTAAAAATTCAGAATATCTACTTCGTTTTATAAGATATTTCTTAATTTTAGGGACCTAAAGTGAAACATTCCCATAAAATATTAAAAAAACAAAGTAAAAATCAAAAACAGTATCCACGACAATTTTCTGTGGTAATTACGTCGCGCCGGCTGTGGCAATAGACAAGGCCGAATCCATCGTCGTCGCCTTGTATTATATCTCGGATCTGCTGACTGAATAAATTCCCGTGAACTAGTCTTTTAATAGTTCCTCTATGTCCGGATCCGATAACATACGGCTGGCACTCCCCACGCCTGCCTAGCATCAATCGCGCTGGCTGAGCTATACGTAAACTAGTCTTTTATTTAGTTCATCTAGTTCCTTTAGGTCCGGATCCGATAACATACGGCATACGGCTGGCACTCCCCACTCCTGCTTAGCATCGATCGCGCTGGCCCGATCCGTTCGTACGTAAACTAGTCTTTTATTTAGTTTAGTTCCTCTAGATCCGGATCCGATAACGTACGGCTGGCACTCCCCACTCCTGCCTACAATCGGGCTACGCGCGCTGGCCGATTCGTCGCCGTCGCATATTATTCTATATCGGTCACATTCTCGATCCCGGAACAGGTCCTGAGGAACTAGTTCTTTGAGAAACCAGGAACTAGTTCCTTTCATTCCGGGGTCGGAATAGTTCATTGGAACTAGTTCGTTCACGAACTACACACCTCTACTCGACTATCGTAGGTATATAGAGATAGGAGTGGTCGCCGTCTATATATCTACGATTGGTCGGAGTCGCTGTTGCTGCCCAGTCTGTGAAGATTCAGTGCACGGTGTTACATTTATTTCTATATAAAGTAAAAATTACTGATGAGATTAAAGCATTTATGTATGTGAGTGGCCTGACTAATATATAAAAAAGACGTTGTAATCGGTTTACACGCTAAAACGCTTTACTCGTTTTTTGTCTAGCCTTATGAGGGCTTATTGATATTAAGATTAGTTTTGATCTAAATATTTCATATTTTAGGATTTAAAATGGCAGGATCCTTTTTTACAAAGGCTCAAAATCAAGAAAACCCTAGATTATAAGCAGAACAAGCAATTAGATACTTCAGGCATTGCCTCAAAATTTACTCTACAAAGAAAAGACAGCTCATCTCCGAATACTCAAGCTAACTTGGACTTGTGCCTTGAAGTAGAAAATTTGGTTAGTGTTCTACCGTTGCGTTGATTGAAGAAATAAGAAGATGCGTTATCTTATAGGTGATTTCGTGGCACAAAACCTGTCCGAGATGTAGCTGGCGTTACTGTCAGCCTGTCCGAGAATTCCGAGATTTACTCTCTCTAATTATTTTTAGTGCTGTAGTTCTGCTTTCAGTCGACAGAGTGAGTGGTTGCTGGAGACAGTGTTGCCAAAACTAACAATTAATCCTCAAATCTACGGATTTTGGTTACAATACGTTACGGATTTTCTATCATTAAACAATTTAATATAATATATGATTAAACAAAGAACGGCGTCAGAGTTGGCTTGGAAATGAAGATCGTTATTTCATATGTAAAATATTATGGTAAATGTCTATAATCATCATTTCCAAGCAAATTAAACGACTTTTTTGCGATCATACGATTTACTCAGTACCTATAAAAGAATTTTTATTTTTGTTGTTTATTCTATGTTTAACACGAATAAATTTTCAATACACAGGGTGGCGCGCCTCATTCGCCTCGGTTGATTATACGAAAACGGAAAGATGTAGAAACAAATTAATTTATGGGTATATGTAGAGAGGCAGTGTGCATAATTTAAAATTATTTTGAAATGTACAGGGTGTCTCAGAACTAAGATCCATACAAAGTTATATGTTTTCTTATGGAACACCCGGTATTTTATTTCATTTTTGGATTCTTGGACATAAAATAAGGCATTTATTATAAGGGTTTAATATGTTTAAAAGCTTTGGTTTTTGAGTTATTTAAAGATATTTAAATATGCATACTATAATAAAAAAGCTTGTCAACACCTTGTACATTATTTTTAGAATCAATTCTTGTGCTGACTTTCAAGCCAGAGAAATAAACTTTACTAAAAAATTTGATTTCTTCCTTAAATGTATACAGGGGTATCAAAAATTGTAGTTCTATTTTAAATATTTATTTTACACACCAACTTCGTTATTTCAAATACAACACTATGTTTTTTTTTGAATAAGTCGAAGCGGATTTAAATGCTTTTTCAAACTATATTAGGGTTTCCTATACCTATCTGGCTCAGATTTGGAATAAAAAGCGATTTTTTTAATAAAATTGTAATCAAGATGGCTGGTGTCACCATGGCAATTTTCTAGTGACACTTAGTAGCTATTTTCAAAATCGACATTAGTTTATGGACTTTATTTAAATTTATAACTGTTATTTTTATTTAATTTATATACAATAAGGTTAATAAGTAAGTATATATTATTTTATCAAGAAAAATGAAGTAGTATCTGTTGGCGGAAGGAATGAATATATTACTAGTGATTTTATTTTGTGAGGACAATTGCTTGTTGGCCTGAAGGCCTGAAGGGTTTATGCTCAAAGATATCTAAATAGGAATTTCCTTGACAAGCGCTTCTTTGAAAAACTGCTTTTCCTATTGCGCATAGCTAGTAGAGTGTGATATATAAAAATCCTATTAGGCAGAAACCTGTCGTCTGTCGTTGGAAGTGAAGAAAATGAATTTGCCTTAATTGGCTCTTTTATAGAAAATCCAATATATCTACAAGTCAGGGTAATATAAATCAAAGAGCTACTTTTTTATTTTTCTTGATAAAATAATAAATACTTATTAAACTATTGTAGGTAAATTAAATAAAAGTAAACTGTTATAAATTTAAATAAAGTCCATAAACTAATGTCGATTTTGAAAATAGCTACTAACTGTCGCTAGCAAATTGCCATGGCGACACCAGCCATCTTGAGAGCAGTTTTATTCAATTTTATTGAAAAATCGCTTTTTATTCAAAATCTGAGCCAGATAGGTATAGGAAACCCTAATATGTATTTAGAGCATTTAAATCTGCTCCGACTTATTTAAAAAAATACATAGTGTTGTATTTGAAATAAACGATGTTTTTATGTAAAATAAATATTTAAAATAGACTAGCAATTTTTGATACCCCTGTACAGGGTGGCTCGAATTCGACGCTCATCATTGGGATTTCGGAAACCGTAAGAGATACAGTATCGGTTAAATGGAGGCAAAGTTGCATAATTTGATGCTCAATAAAATGCCGTATTACATTTTGAAAAATTCCGAATACTTCCGAATATATTCGAAAAAAAACACGGAATTTTCGATTTTGTTTTCTATTGTTTCTTGGCTTTATTCTATTGTTTCTTGGCTTATAACATAAAATGAAAAACGCATTTTCATGGCCACTTTTCTCTGTGTGATTAAATATTGACTCTGAGGTTTCGGGGGTTTCGGCTTTGGCGACCATCATCAACTTAATTTTTTTAAATACGGACCTGATTTTTTTTCAATTTAATTAAATCCTTTCATCACTCAAAACACTATATATAGTTATTTTGATATTTGCCGACGTTTCGTATACAGAAAATTCCATCACCAGAATATTTTATGCAAAAAAAAATAAAATATAAAAATGCAATGCGGCATTTTATTGAGCATCAAATTGCGCAACTCTGCCTCCATTTAACCGACTCTGTATCTCTTACGGTTTCCGAAATCCCAATGATGAGCGTCGAATTTGAGCCACCCTGTATACATTTAAGGAAGCAATAAATATTTTTAGTAAAGTTTATTTCTCTGGCTTAAAAGTCAACACAAGAATTAACTCTGAAAAGAAATGTACAGGGTGTTGAGAACTTTTTCATTATAGCATGCAAATATCTCTAAAAACAAAGGTTTTAAACATATTATACCCTTATAATGAATGCCTTATTTTATGTCCAAGAATCCAAATAGGAAATCAAATACCGGGTGTTCCATAAGAAAAAAAATAACTTTGTATGGATCTTAGTTCTGAGACACCCTGTACATTTGAAAATAATTTTAAATTATGCACATTGCCTCTCTACATAATATACCCATAAAAAAATTTGTTTCTACATCTTTCCTTTTTCCTATAATTAACCGAGGCGAATGAGGTGCGCCACCCTGTATAAAGGCGGATTTTTTATCCAAATATATTTTCGTCAAATGTACTACAGATATTACTTTTTAATATGGCAACACTGTCGCTTTAAGATCAACACCGTCTTCAGTATGCCTTCGCCGGCGCCGGCCGAATTAGAGAAAATAAGCGTTTTGTGCGTCGACCGCAGAACGATTGGTGTCTCCACCGTACAGCACTTGAGAAGGGGAAATCAAATCAGCCTTGTCACGAATTCGCCCTGCATTAGGTTGCGTATCTTCTCAATTCTTTCAATCCACGGTTCTACCTACAACAGGCGTGTCATCTTAAATCTGAGGTCTGCATTTCAATGTGTAAGATAATGATTGGGATATTCTAATGAAAAATCAAATATGTTAAAAAGAGACAAAAAGTGTGTTGGTATATTTCTTTAAGCAGTATTGCCAAATATTGAATTAAAGAATTTTAAGATTTAGCACTTTATATAGAGTATCGCAATTTTGTCCATTTAGAGTAGTGATGGGCATTATGATTCTTTTTAGCGAATCGAATCACACGATTCAATTTCTCATATTCCGATAGATCCGAACTGGCACTACCGGCGCCGGCGATAATTTGGCCGGACAATTACTTAAGAACTTAAGGTACAAAAAGAAATATACATTCATTTGTTTTTCAACACTTTATGACACTAGCGTAATTAGATTGATCATTTTACAAATTATTATTTATTAATATTAAATTTTCAATCCAATTCATATATGCTATTTATTAAATACTTCTTAATACCAATTTAATATTTTTAGAGCCATATTTTAATTCCGATTTAATAATCATATAATAAATAGTATATAATACCGCATGATCCAAAAAATGGCATCCAGCTGGCTTGCAAATGAACATTGATGACATTGCCTATATAATTTTACATATAAAATGACAGCGATTTTCATTTTATAACCATCGCCGACGCCGTTTTTTTATCATATTGAACACAGGCCAACAATATTTATTTGGAGCTGCATAAAAACACGATTTCGTCCTTTAGTCCATTTATGGTTTATAGTCGGTAATATTATTTTAACAAAAATATTAACGTAAAAATTAAATATCTTACAGATACTCCCGTACTAAGCACAGTATAAATAAGCTTTTTTCTTGTAAATAACATTCTTATCGTTTGCATTTTATGCCCATGATGTTGGTTTAGGGCTTTTGTTCAAGTCTAAATATCGGTGCCTGACTCTATGATGACTCCTACCTGATGTCTATATCACCGCCGCGCCGCGCCGTAGAAACGAACGATCGCATTGTGATCCGGTTCAATTCTCACGGTTCTTATTTACGGCTCATCGTTCAAATTTTATGGATCCGTGGCCACGATTCAATTGAACGAACCATATTGCAAGCAATGAATCAATTCTCACGACTCTTATGGATCCGTGCTGGCTACGATTCAATTGAACGAACCGTATTCTAAGCAGTGAATCGAATCACACGATTTATTTTTAATACTCGTTCAAATGAACGACTCGTTCAATCTTTGCACACCTCTAATTTAAAGGCGGGAAATTTATAAATAAAGGCATATATTTTTATAAACAGCAAGCAAAACACTCACAATGCTCATGAGCTCATGATTGTCATGAGCATGAATTCAAAAAATGAAGGCAAGTTTATATTATATACCCGTTATGCGCCATCACTCTGTCATGACCTGCGATTAGCGTTGGTAATCTTTAAATTTCTTATTTAATTTTATGTGAAAACGGCTTTGCGCATGTCGCTCATTGTTTCTTAATTCTAACATAAAAATATTTTCACTTTAGATTTATTTTATGTTATAATTTTATATAACTATAAATATACCAGGTGCGTCGCAAAAGCGGCTCATCCCCTGTAACTTTTTTATTTTTTCAGATAAAAACTCGAGATTTGGTATATTAATATATGACATGAATTAGGATTGCAATGACAAATGACTGCAACTTTTGATTTTTAAATGGTACCCTCCGTGTTTTGTTGCTTTATTCGATAGAATATGATACTCTGAATAGAATGACATATCATATGTCAACTTTTGACATTTTGGAATATGGTTTATTTGAAATTGCAACATGCGATTCATAACGACAATTTGACTCTAAATACCAAGTGTGTGGTACAAAATTATTCGTAAAAAATGCTTTTTCCAAATATGCTAAAGAGCCACCCTCGTTCCATTTGAAAAAATTGAGATACTTAAAATAAATATATAATATACTTAAAATACGATTTGGGTATCTTTTAAACGGCCAGGACAAGACACGAATAACATTAGACGATCAAATCTATTTTCCCAAGGCTCCTTGATAAAAAAAGTAGTGTTTTTAACACAGCCGTGGCACTCTAGATTGAAATTTAAAATGCAATTTTGTTTTAAGCAAAAATGTCAAAAGTTGACATATGATACATCAATCTATTCATAATGTCATTTTCTATCGAATAAAGTAAAAAAATGCCGAGGGTGTCCTTTAAAAATCAAAAGTTGTAGTCATTTCCGGTGAAACAGGAAGTGGCCGAAAGTAATTGAATACGTCAATCAATTAAAATTTATGTCATATACTAACATACCAATTCTCGCTTTTTTATCTGATAAAATAAAAAAGTTATAGGGGTAAACCACTTTTGAGACGCACCCTGTATATATTATGTGTTGTAACAATGGTTAAAGTAACTAGCTTTATCTTTGTCCTATGCGTTAAAATACCTTGCAGATCAAGAATTTAAGATGATCAAAGCCTCTAACATAAATAACGATTAATAATATCGCTAAATGTTTCTAGCCCACGTCCCTGACACCAGGTGTAAACGTACTGAAACTGAGTAAAACTGCCACAGTTATAGGGAAGTACTGTATAGGAGTGGCAGCTCTGTATATTAATAAACTTCATTTGGTGTCTCAACAGCTCATTCCACGGCTGACAATTGAAGTGAGGGAAGAGAGTCCTTCTATAAGACTGTATAAAAGGGCTGGTCCCTTGCTTTTGGGCATAGAACAAGTGATGAACCTGATATTAACAATAGGAAGTTACCTGATTGAACCAGTAAGTACAATTCAGTTTATCAAACTTTGACATTATAAAAAGTTGCGTGTTGCACTATGTGCGCATATTTGAAGTGAAACTTCTTACTACTTCTACTTACTTTGATTAGTTGATTTGGTTTGATAGTTGATTATCAGAGATGAACGTGTAAAAACGCTATTTTCAATAATTAATGTTAATGTAAAAATTTAATTTATTTCCTTATATTTGGTCTTTATATGTATCGGTATTTTATATACAGGTTGTTAACTGGACAGTTACTTATAGGTGAACAGAATGGCAACACTGCCTATTAAGAACGCTTGCACTTATAGGGTTTTCTGCCGACTCTCTGGGTTCTCTGCATATTTCAACCATAAAGCTCTTGCCGCGAGTAATAAACAAATTAACAACCTGTATATTGTAAGGTACCGCAAAATTTTACGGCACTGTTCTGTAGGAAATTGAAGCTTTAGGTATTTCTGTTCTATGAATATGTATTTAATAGGCCAGTCAAATGCGATTAGGTTATAGGTAACCCCTCTAATAAATTTTATTAGAGGGGTTACTTGGAAAAAAGTGTTGGAAACTTAATTACTGGTTTTATTGGTTCATTTGACGTTAAAGACAAGTTTCCTAGTTTGCACGGTTGCTCTACTGCCGCTCTCTGTCTTAGGAAGCCCAAAAGATGTAACAGGGGGAAATTTTGAGGGTCGGTTTGATGAAGTAAAAGGCGATAGTTTAAGTTCCTCGTGTATTTCTCTCTCTCTTTTGTAACTCTTTGCTATAATGGCTAGCACCAAGTTAATTCATACAAAATATAATAACTAATAAGATGTATTGTGAAATTTTAAACCACAGGCTGCCGCCGTTATTTGCAAAAGTTAAGAATAAATGTAGAAATAAATTTACTTAAATCGAAGATATTTTTTATCCGCATACCAGATTTATTTAATAAAATGGGTATAAGCGGCGACATCTACAAGACGGGTGTTTGAACGCATTGAATGTTAATAAGGTTTACTACATTTACACTAAAATATTTTCATGTAGTTCCGCAATTTAACAACAAATAATCAATAACCTAATATATTCTGTTTCATCTGCCTCCCTGTGAACTGAGAGGTCGAAGAACACACGAGGTTCACATAATTTATAAATTTAATAAATAGTATCAATATATGTGCTATAACTATATAGCTCACACAATTTATGGCGGGTGATATGCCTTAAGATGTCTTACGTGGAATAAGCCGCGTTCAGTAAACGATTCCGGGTGCTCTAACATATACGTATTAAAACTTACAGCACTCTTTATTCGATAGGGTCCTTCAAATAACAAAAGAATTTTTTTTTGTTTCTGCACTTAAAGCAGAGGATATATTATTAGATCGAAGTAAAACTAAATCTCCCTCTTTAAATACCGGGTATGGTCGACTTGGATAGTTAATAGCTCTCCGTGCTGCGCGACTTTGTAATGTTTCTTTGGCAAGCCACATTTTCCTCTCCGAACTAACATCCTGTGTCCCGATGGGATTTGAAAGAAATGACGGAAGAAATTTAGGCACGGTGGTGTTGTGCTGCAATTCGTGCGGAGTAAAACCTGTCGATTCGTGAACTACAAAATTCATCAAGACAGCAAATCTTTTTAATTCATGTGCCCAACGAGTATGTTGCCCCGCACAATATACGCGACACAAGCGTCCTAGTTCCCTCATTACTCTTTCGGAAGAGTTTGCTTGGGGGTGTCTAATCGAATTAAAAATAACCTTTATACCTAGAGATTCCAAAGTTTCTCGCCATCGTTTAGAAGTGAACTGAGAACCATGGTCTGAAAGAATACGATTTGGTCGGCCATTTTTAGGAAAATAATCTAAAATTAGACGATTAAGTGCAGCTCGAGTGGTTGCATTTTTTAAAGGATATAACGCAATGTATTTAGTAAATACGTCCAAGACTACTAAAACATATTTGGCACCAGCACGACTTCGCGGTAGGGGACCATATAAATCTAAAGCTACTAAGTCACCTTTAGCATCAGGAATAATAGGATTTATAGGTGGTTTAGGCATGCGCGATATCTTTGTCTTTTGACAGACGTCACAGTGTCGTAATATTTTTTTAATAGTAGCATACATATTCGTCCACCAAGCCTCGGTGCGAAGAGCTGACCACGTTTTATATACACCGTAATGGCCCAACATCTCGTGATATGCTTCAACAAAATCAGACTGCATCACTTTAGGAACACAAACCAAATACGGTTCATCGGATGCTTGTCGATAATATAATACGTCTTGGTGGAGTGCAAATCGTTCTTGTAGTTTTAAATCAGATGATAGTGCCGATATAATATCATTTAATTTTTTATCATCGCGTTGCACTACTGCGATAGCTTTTATTTTTCTTAAAAACTCCGTGGGTAATTTAAGAGTTGATAAAATTTTGAATAATCTATTCTCCGGATAAGGGGGAGCTTTAGCACTGTCCCGTGATAGCGCGTCTGCTACAATATTATCTTTTCCCGAAATATGCTCAATAGAAAAATCAAATTCCTGTAAGGCTAGGACCCAACGCGCGATTCGCGGCGAGAGTAGTCGACAAGTGTTAATATACGTTAAAGCTTTATTATCAGTATGCACCGTAAAATGGCGACCCAATAGATATACACGCCATCGAGTTAACGCAAATACACCGCAAGAACTTCCTTTTCATTACTATGGTACCGCGTTTCTCTTGGAAGCAATAATCGACTCGCATAAGCTATCGTACGAGATTCACCATCCAACACTTGGTAAAGTTGTGCCCCTAAACCATATTCGCTTGCATCTATGTTGACATGCCATTCGGCTGACAAAACCGGATGATAAAGCATTGCTGCATTTTTTAATAAATCCTTTATCTTCTCAAAAGCTTTCTATTGTGGCTCTTTCCATTCCCATCGAACAGTTTTCCGCAATAATTTCGTTAGAGGCTCACAAAATGATGAAAACGATTTACAAAAGGATCTGTCAAAATTGCATAAGCCAAGAAAGCGCTGAAGTTGCTTAACGTTGTGTGGTCGCGTGTATTCTACAATAGCTTTTACCCTAGACGGATTTGGTTTAATACCATTACTGTTTATCACATATCCCAGAAAATTAAGTTGATCACAAAAAAAATCACATTTACTTATATTAAGGGTTAACCCACGATACACTCACAACGGTATGTTCATGCGCACGGTTGCTCGGCCTGTGACGTCATGTGGCAGACAAACTTCTCAGCGGCGCTTTAAATTTACATTGAATTTTTGATTTCACACCGATTTTTTCAAGCGTATTGGATTAAATTAATGCTTTTTTCATTCAAAATATGCTTTATTGGTACAGGATGACTTATACATATATTTATTTGTTATAAAATTACACAGGTTAGTGCCAACAGTTTGATAACTGACCCGAAAAATGGTTTAGCGCAAAAGCAAGATTAAGAATCGGCTTTCTTTTGCAATATTTCATGGAATGGCGTGATATAACAAAAATATTATAATAGGTAGGTACCATCGTGCAAAAAAAAACTGGAGCAAACAAATTTAATAATACGCGATCCTAAATAAATACCTATTTACATATTATAGACTATAATAAGAGGTAAAATCTATAGGTAATCATTGTTGCAGGTACCACAAAAATGATAAAATGCTCATGGCAGCTGTAAAAAATGTCAATGATTTTAATCTTTGATTTTAATCAAAATAATGACTGGTTTCGTGACCGACACCATATTTTTTATATTCTAAAAACGCACATTATTTTTCGTTGTCCTAGTTTATTTTCGTCGGGATCCGGACAGTTCTTCGAAGGACGTTTCTTCGAATGGACAATTCATCAAAAAGACAATTATTTTTCGAATATTTAATAATTAATTGTTTTTTTTCAACCTACTTTTTTTACTTCGTGTTGGTTAAAAAAAGTGATAATAGAAGTGTATGTCGGTAACTTTGGGTTAGTTTGAATTATTTTCTCATTTTTTTTATAAAAAAAACTTTCGGTCTGTGGGTCGGTTTTAGTTATTTCTTAGTGTTCATAAAAAAAATAAGAAATATTTCCCAACAATTTTTTCTGGAATGCGAGCGGGTTAGTGTCAGTGTCAGTCAGTCATTGTTTATTGGTTTTAAGATATTTTACAAAATGCCTCTCTTCTACTTAATCTAATAATCATCCATTCCAAGAATTGTCCATTCGAAGAACTCTCCTTTGAATAATTGTCTTTCGAAGAACTGTTCTACATCCATTTTCTTCCTGGTGGTACCTACATACAGTGTTTTAAAGCTAACATTTATTTAAGTTCACTTATATGGTATATTGTTATTTAAATTAAACAAAATTTAATTTAAAACATTTTTATTTAATTATACAGGAAATTTCAAAATTAGTGTTAGATTTTAGGTTGAATTTGGGACACCATGTATTGCTAATAATATATTTTTTTCAAAATCTAATAACTATAATAATTATAACAACAAGAATATTAATACTAATATATATAGATATATAGAAAAACGCTGATTTAAGTTTTCATTTGGGTTTTCATTATTTTTATTTGGTTTAAAAAAAACGTTTTGGCTAACTATAGCATTCATCAGTGTTGTGTCATATGAAAAAAATAGTGTCGAATATAATCCAAAAAATTACATATGAAATATTCACACCACATAATGTTTACTGCAATTAATAAACTAATATAAACTTATCAAAAGATGACCACATATTTTTTAGAATTATTATTCTTAACAGTAAAACTATTTACATTGACTATGGAGACTATGGAGTATTTTATATGTAATTTTTTGGATTATATTCGACACTATTTTTTTCATATGACACAACACTGATGAAGGCTATAATGTTAGCCGAAACGTTTTTTTAAACCAAATAAAAATAATGAAAAACCAAATGAAAACTTAATCAGCGTTTTTCCCGAACCTAAATCCCAAGAAAATCAAAAAATTTAGAATATTTAGAAACAAGGTTCAAGAA